CAATCAAAGAGCATTCTGAACTCCATCAATGATGGAATTGAACCAAACTTAGCGCACAGAACTCCCATGACCAGCAGAAAATACTGGAAGGGTTTGGTGGGCATTGGCCTTGAGTTTGGGAGTTGTAGTCCACAGTGCTCTCTGGATTCAAACAATGATGGATCTGGACCAAACTTGGCACAAGCACTCAATACGCCCAAATATGATCACAGATGGAGTTTGGGGGAAATAGACCTCGACATTTGGGAGTTGTAGTCACTGGGATTCAAAGTTCTCATTTTGACCAAGGCCAACCCTTTTGGGATCCAAACGTTTCCCATCTTTCCTTCACTTTCTGGCTCTGAAAGAGAAGAGGAAGGGGAAGAAAGGGCAGGGAGGGGGCTTGGGGAGAAACCCCTCCATGCTCCGGCCTGCCATGTGACCCAACAAGTTAGATAGTTTGGGCTATACGAACACAGTCCATCCTATGTAATGCAGGAGTGAGCCAATTGTTCACTAGTGATAGTTTTTGGATCAAAAAAGTAATAGCCCGGCATTCTTTTTTTAAAAAAGGTTTCTGATCCCTAATTTTCCAGGCCTTTGACTGAGCGAACTGGGATTTGGCGCTAGGCGATGGAGTTTTCATGGATTTTTAATGGTTTTAATAAAACATCTGGGGTTGTTTTTTTAATTTCCATATACTGTACATTTTAGTATGGTAAATTTTAATGCTTTTAATAGCACAACTGGGTTTGGTTTTTTAATGTTTATATGTATATTTTAGTGTGTTTGCATTGCTTGGTGTTTATTGTTAGTAGCCTAGAGTCCCCATATTGGGAGAAAGCCAATATCCAGTCTTTCCCAATTGTCCGTTTCCATACTTTCTCCAACTTTGCAATCAGGAAACTTGGAGGTGTCAAGTCGGGGCAGTTGGGAAAGGAGACTGGTGACTGGGTTTCTTTGTGTTGAGGAATCTGAGCTGTTAGGCTCAAAATAACCCTTAGTTGGGGCAATTCCACCATAAATATAGCTGAGTACCAGAAGTAAACTTCATAACCAGTAGGAATTTAAGCTTTTACTCCATAGGATGGTGCAGGATTGCAGAGTCAGAACTTTAGGTTCAAAAATATTTATTGAAGTAAGAGAAATACAGCGTTTCTCAACCTGGGGGTCGGACCCCGGGGGGGGGGTCACAAGGTGGTGTCAGAGGGGTTGCCAAAAATCATTAGATAACACAGTATTTTCTGTCGGTTATGGGGGTAAAGGGGCGGCTCAACCCATTACACAAAGTAAGCAAAGTAGTTGATTTTGCCCAGGGGCACTCTTGAGGCGCTCTTGGGGGAAAATAGACCTTGACATATGCGAGTTGTAGTTACTGGGATGTATAGTTCACCTACAATCAAAGAGCATTCTGAACTCCACCAATGATGGAATTGAACCAAATATGGCACACAGAAAATATATATCAGTGATTGGTTGGGGGGTGGGGGGCGCCAAAATACTGTTTGCTTACCATTGAAAATTACCTTGGGTCGCCTCTGATGTGGGTTCAATGTGGGAAGTTTGGCGAAATTCTATTGTTGGTGGGGCTCAGAATGCTCTTTGATTGTAGGTGAACTATACATCCCAGCAACTACAACTCCCAAATGTCAAGGTCTATTTTCCCCAAACTCCACCAGTGTTCACATTCGGGCATGTTGAGTATTTGTGCCAAGTTTGGACCAGATACGTAATTGTTTGAGTACACCATGCTCCCTGGATATAGGTGAACTACAACTCCAAAACTCAATGTCAATGCCCACCAAACCCTTCCCGTATTTGCTCTTGGTCGTGGGAGTTCTGTGTGCCAGGTTTAGTTCAATTCCATTGTTGATGGAGTTCATAATTCTCTTTGATTGTAGGTGAACTCTAAATCCCAGCATCTACAACTCGCAAATAACAAATCCCCCCCCCCCCCCCCCCCCCCCCCCCACACACACACACACCACTAATATTCAAATTTGGGCATATCAGGTCTTTGTGTCAAATTTGGTTCAGTGAATTAAAATACATCCTGCATATCACATATTTGCATTACGATTCATAACAGGAGCAAAATTACAGTTATGAAAGAGCAACAAAAATAATGTTTTGGTTAGGGGTCACCACAACATGAGGAATTGTATTAAGGAGTCACGGGAATAGGGAGCTTGAGAACCACTATTCTAGATGGAAATGATCTTGGAGCTAACTAGCTTCTTAAGTCTCATCTTCTAAAGAGGTCAAAGGGTAAAAAAAAAATTAAAAATCCATGCAGCTACATTTTGCCTAAAGAGAGAGGCAAAATGCTTTCTCACTGGAAGGATGAAAAGGCAGAAGAGAACAATGGTAGAGACCACATAGAATCATAGAGTTGGAAGAGAATTCGTGGGCCATCCAGTCCAACTCCATTCTGCCAAGAAGCAGGAAAATCACATTCAAAACAGCCCTGATAGATGGCCATCCAGTATTTGCTTAAAAGCCTTCAAAGAAGGAACCTCCATCACACTCTGGAGCAGAGAGTTCCACTGTTGAACAGCTCTCACAGTCAGGAAGTTCTTCCTAATGTTCAGGTGGAATCTCCTTTCCTGTAGTTTGAAGTGTCCAGGGCAGCAGAAAACACGTTTGCTCCCTCCTTCCTATGACTTCCCCTCACATATTTATACATGGCCATCATGTCAATCCAGGGAAATAAAACTTGAAGAGGAAGTTCCCTCACAGAATTCCATTCCTGTATCATCAAAGGGGGAGGAAGAAACAGTGGCTAGCAGGAAGAGTAAAGACAAAACATGCATGGTAAAGCGAGGAAAGAAATCCCTGAGCTTAATCCTATTGCTAGTCTAGCTACTCATTGAGAACTGGAAACTTGATGACACAAGACACTTGTGCACTCCAGGGATGAAACCCAACACTTTTTAATGTTTATATTTTAGTGCATTTACATTTTTTATTGTAAGCAGGATAAAAAGCATTCCAAATTTCCAAATTACCATATTTCCTCCCAATGTAGTAATGAGGACCCTTGGAAGTGTGAGGTCGGGGGGCAGACTGATGGGCCTTGCAGTTCAATTCCCCTTGGGATGTGAGCGCACTGCCTTGACACTATCATTCCCCGGAGCCCATGAGAGACATAGGGTTGCCGTGATGGATGTGGCGCTTTCCCTTGCAGCTGTGTGGCCCAAGGCACCTCCGCCGGCCGCCATCCCTCCCTCCCTTTCCCCCGGTGCGCTATAAATACCTTCTCTTAGTCCATCCCAGCGCACTGTATCAATCTTGTTTAATAGACTGGAAAGCTTAATGCTCGGTGGCGGGTCGCGGGGAGCATCGGGGTGATGGATGGTGCCTTCCCGGAGTCGAGCACCGTTGATGTATAATGAAATATTTATGATTTATTCCGGCTAATAAACGGGGATGAAGTGTGTGATATATATATATGAGCAGATGGGGAACTATCGATGCGGCTTTCGTTCGGGGAGGTTTATGTCCGTAACGCACATGCATCCACACGCACATCGCATGTGCCATCAACTCCACACCTCGCAGGGCTGTGGCGGGGACAGCCGAGTCCCATCCCGCCATTAATCTCTCGCTCTTTCCCTCTAATTGTTTGTCATCCCACGTTTTCCCCTCCTGCACCTGTTCTTCGCAAGACAAAACCTTCCTTTCCGCAGAAGGCCTTTTATCGAACGCTTTGGCTGCTCTGGAATTCAAAACACGTGGCACCCATGGCCTCAGTGGCATTTGCAGTGGCAGACGCCACCAAGGAGAGAGGGAGAAAACAATAATTGGAACCCACAGCCTTCAGTAAGGGTTAGCTATGCTTATACAAGCTTGCATGTAGCTCTTCAGACTCCCAAATGCAACATATTGGATTCTTGAGACCCCAAAATGCAACCTATTGGGCCTTTGAGACCCCAAAATACAAGGCATTGTGTCCTTGAGATTCCCAAAATGCAGCATATTGAACCCTAGAGACCCTAAAATGCAACATATTGGGTCCTTGAGACCATAAAAATTATGCATTGTCTTTATATCTAAATGCACTATAATGTTATTTTAGTTTATCAATGTATGTATTTTATGGCATCGAATTGTGCCGACTGTGTACGCCGCTCTGAGTTGTCTTCGGGCTGATATGAGCGGGGTGGAAATATTGCAAATAAATAAATAAATAAATAAAATGCAAGATATCGGGTGTTTGAGGCCCTAAAATGCAACATATTAGACCTTTGAGACCCCAAAATGCAACATATTGGGTCTTTGAGACCCCAAAATGTAGCATATTGGGCATTTGAGGCTCCAAAATGCAACATATTTGGTTTTTGAGAGCTCAAAATGCAACATATTGGCCTCTTGAGATCCCAAAATGCATCATATTGTGCCCTTGAGACCCCAAAATGCAACATAATGGATCTTTGAGACCCTAAAATGCAACATATTGGGTCTTTGAGACTCTAAAATGCAACATATTGGACCTTTGAGACCTCAAAATGCAACATATTGGGTCTTTGAGACCCCAAAATGTAGCATATTGGGTCTTTGAGGCTCCAAAATGCAACATATTTGGTCTTTGAGAGCTCAAAATGCAACATATTGGGCTCTTGAGATCCCAAAATGCATCAAATTGTGCCCTTGAGACCTCAAAATGCAACATATTGGGCCCTTGAAAGCTCAAAATGCAACATAATGAGTCTTTGATACCCTAAAATGCAACATATTGGATCTTTGAGACTCTAAAATGCAACATATTGGACCTTTGAGACCCCAAAATGCAGCATATTGGGTCTTTGGGGCTCCAAAATGCAACATTTGGTCTTTGAGACCTCAAAATGCAACATTTTGGGCTCTTGAGATCCCAAAATGCAACATATTGGGTCTTTGAGTCCCCAAAATGCAACATATTGGGCCCTTAAGGCCCAAAAGGATAATGTCCTTTTCTTGGTGCAAGGAGTGATGGTGGAGATAGCGGCAGATTGCCTGACCCTTTTCTCTTTCTCTCCTAGGAGACACAGCTGTGTATAAAGATGGCACCTACTGGATCCGAGGACGCACCTCTGTTGACATCATCAAAAGTGGCGGCTACAAAATCAGCGCCTTGGAAGTGGAACGGCATTTGTTGGCCCACCAGAGCATTGCAGGTAAAGTATCAGCCATCCATCAGGAATAATGCATTTCATGAGCATCTCAGGGTCTTCCCTTGGGCAACTTCAATGGTCAAAAAGATTTTGTCAGAATACCTCTCAACTGAAATTAACAATGGAGGACTTTGAGAGAACATATTAATCAATGTGTTATTCGAAGGCTTTCATGGCCGGAATCACTGGGTTTCTGTGAGTTTTCCTTGCTGTCTGGCCATGTTCCAGCAGCATTCCCTCCTGACGTTTTGCCCATGTTTATGGCAGGCATCCTCAGAGGTTGAGGGGTCTGTTGGAAACTAGTCAAGTGAAGTTTATATATCTGTGGAATGATTTCTAGGGTGGGAGAAAGAACTTTTTCTCCTAGGCAGCAATCAGCCAGGCTTAGAAGCTGCAGGGCCATTAAATGCTAATCAAGGCAGCTATTTGCAACATTCACACCTGCCTCCAGCAGACAAGAGTTCTTTCTCCCACCCTGGACATCATTCCACAGATATATAAACCGTACATGGCTAGTTTCCAACAGATCTCACAACCTGTGACGATGGCTGCCATCGATGTGGGTGAAACGTCAGGAGAGAATGCTTCTGGAACATGGCCACACAGCCTGGAAAACTCTAAGCAACCCATATGAATCAAGTCTGCAAATAACGAAATCTGCAGAAGTAAAAATTGTCAATTGTCAAAATCTTCATGAAACAGCATCTGATGCTATATCATATTTTGCTTTCGTGCATCTCCTTCTAAGCCTCTGGAAATGTCTTTATGCATTTCCTTTCATGCCTAAGTTGCCCTATAGCCAAAGCTCTCAGGGTGACATTAATGATAAAAACAAACACAGTAAAAGCCCCCAACGAGAGTATAACATCGCTTACCAACCAACCAACAAAATAAAAGCAGCAACTGCCATGTGTCGAAAATAGAAGAGGAATCTGAAGACAGGCTAAAGAAGGGCCGTTTGAAAATGAATTATTGGGAGGAAAACCGAGTGATGAGGTGAAAATCTATAAGATGGATAGATGCAGGGAATGCCGTGGATGGAGCGTATCTGGATTTCAATAAGGCCTTCGACAAGGTCTCCCATGACCTTCTGGCAAGATAACTAGTCCAATGTGTCCAGAGAAAGAGGGTGACTCAAAGGATCAAGGGTCTGGAGAACAAACCCTATGAGGAGTGGCTTCAAGAGCTGGGCATGTTTAGTCTGCAGAAGAGAAGGCTGAGAGAGAGGAGACATAATGAGGACCATGGATCAAGATGTGAGGGGAAGTCATACAGAGGAGGCTTGTTTTCCGCTGCCTGGAGACTAGAATGCAATGGAGCAGTAGCTTCAAATTAGAGGAAAGAAAGGACATTCCACTTGAACGTGAGGAAGACTTCCTAACGGAGAGAGAGAGAGAGCTGTTCAGCAGTGGAACTCTCTGCCCTGGAGTGTGGTGGAGGCTCCTTCTTTGGAAGCTTTTAAGCAGAAGCTGGATGGCCATCTGTCGGGGGTGCGTTGAATGCAATTTTTCTGCTTTTTGGCAGAATGGGGTTGGACTGGATGGCCCACGAAGTCTCTTCCAACTGTATGATTCTATGTGGTCTCCACTATTGTTCTCTTCTGCCTTTTCTTCCTTCCACTGAGGACGCATTTTACCTCTCTAGGCAAAATGTAGTTGCATGGATTTTTTGTTTATTTTTTACTGTTTTACCTCTTTAGAAGATGAAATTTAGTAAGCTCTAAGACCTTTTCTGTTTAGAACAGTCGTTCTCAACCTTCCCAATTCCGCAATTCCTTAATCCAGTTCTTCATGTTGTGGTGACCCCCAACCATAACATTATTTTCATTGCTACTTCATAACTGTAATTACTGCCTCTCTAGGCAAAATGTAGCTGCATGGATTTTTTGACTTTTTACCCTTTGACCTCTTTAGAAGATGAGACTTAGTAAGCTAGTTAGCTCTAAGACCTTTTTTGGCCATCTGTCGGGGCTGCTTTGAATGTGATTGTCCTGCTTCTTAGCAGAGTGGAGTTCGAATGGATGGCCCACCAGGTCTCTTCCAACTCTAGGATTCTATGATTCGATGAAATGTAAAAGGGCCAAGACAATAGAAAAAATATTTTCCTGGGCACTGAAAATGGAATGAATTCAAAGCCACCCTCTGAGGGCCTCCGTAGAGAAAGCTTGCTCAGAAGTAGCCCGGCACTTGCTCTCAGGTGGATCAGGGCCTTTGGAAACATATGGGAAGAGGCGGCATCGCTTTAACTTGTCACTCCGGTTTCCCTGCCCCTGTCTTCTCCTCGGCTTTGCCATCTGGCTGCGTTTTCTATTTATTTACTCAAGTATTTCTCAACCCTGCCCTTAAAAGCAACAACAACAGCACGCAGGTAGTTTTAGAGATGGGACGTAAAAATTCGTACACTTCTGGGGAGAATTTCCTGCCTTTTTCTTGGCTTGACTTTGCCTCGTTCTCTGTCTTGCTCCAGATGTAGCGGTGATTGGAGCCCCAGACTCGATGTGGGGCCAGAGAGTCAGTGCGGTGGTCAAGCTCCACAAAGGCCATACTTTGTCGCTCAAGGAGCTGAAGGAATGGGCAAGGTAAGTGAACCACCCATGGCGATTATTCACCAAGGTCTTCCAGTGGGTGTCCATAGTCAAGTGCGGATACAAATGTCCAGGGTGGGAGAAAAAAATCTTGTCTGCCTGAGGCAAGTGTGAATGTTGCAATTGGCCACCTTGATTAGCATTTAATGGCCTTGCAGCTTCAAAGTCTGGCTGATTCCTGCCTGGGGGATTCCTTTGTGTGGAGGTATTACCTGGCCCTCATTGATTCTTCTCTGGAATTCCCCTGCTTTTTGAGTGTTGATCTTTATTTACTGTCCCGATTTAGAGTTTTACTGTATACCATGCAGCTGTGGACAAGTCTACATAGGAACCACCAAATGCAACATTGCACAGATATGAATCAAGGAACATGGAAGGCACTGCATACTAATTCAACCAGAGAAGTCGGCCATAGCAGAGCACCTGATGAACCAACCCAAACACAGCATATTATTGGAGAACACAGAAATGCTGGACCACTCTCACAACCACCGTGTCAGATTTCACAGAGAAGCCATTGAAATCCACAAGCATGTGGACAATTTCAACAGAAAGGAGGAAACCGTGAAAATGAACACAATCTGGCTACCAGTATGGGGAAAAAAATCTAAAATCAAGACAGGAAACAAAAAGCAACACTCAAAAAGCAGAAGAATTGCACAAAAGAATCAATCAGGGCCATCTAACACCTCCCAAGAAAGGATTCCCCCAGACAGGAAGCAGACAAGCTTTGAAGCTGCAAGGCCATTAAATGCTAACTAAGGTGCCACACCTGCCTCAAACAGTCAAGAGTTCTTTCTCCCACCCTGGACATTCCACAGATATATAAACTTCACTTGCCTAGTTTCCAACAGACCCCACAACTTCTGAGAATGCCTGCCATAGATGTGGGCAAAAGGTCAGGAGAGAATGCTTCTGGAGCATGGCCATACAGCCCAGAAAACTCCCAGCAACCCAGTGATTCTGGCCATGAAAGCCTTCGACAATACAGAGAAGGGTTTTCTTTGCAAAAGCAAGTGAGTAGTACATTGTTGTTGTTGTTGTTGATTCTGGCCATGAAAGCCTTCGACAACACAATGATAATATGCTTTTAATTTTCTTTGGAGAGGAATGAATGAATTTGGTCCTTGGTCCTCCAAACCTCCTCCTCCTCTACTGTTTCTCAGGCCATCTGACATCCAAATATGATGTGTCTTGGCCACCGCAGGGGAAGGTCCTTGGCGTGTTCATTCGCTGCACGCTTTCTCGCAGGCCCCGTCCCTTCCCTCTTGCCTTGCTTCTCCTCCTTTCCTTCTGCCTCCCTTCGCCTTTTCCTCCTTCCCTTCTTCTCGCTCTGTCTGGCAGGAGACACATGTCCCTCTTCATTGTGTGGCGGCATTCGCCTCCAGTCTCTTCACACCAACGACACCCGGGTCTCGAGTTGGAGGTCCCCATATGGCGGCAGGCAGGGAGGAAGGGTTTGGGGAGCAAGCGGGGCTGTGGTTAAGGAGAAGAGCGCTGACACGCTCGGTGGGCCTGTCATGTCACGTCAGATCTCAGAACAGGCGGCTGTCGGAGCTTGGCGTGGCCTGAGGTTGGTGCCACGGCAAGAGAAAGCACACCGACACACGCCGTACTTTGCAGAGGGCATGCCAACTTTGCTTCATGCCAAGACAGTTCTCCCGATGCAGATACAAGGAGAAATGGCACTTGTTGGGCGCCTGACCCATCATGGCTACCTAGGCATTAGAGTGGCGTGAAGGCTGCCCACTTGGGACTTGTATTACGGAGCGGGAATTTGCCTGGCTCTTTCGCACTTCCATTGACAATTTGTCACTTGCACTGCTTGCCATATCTAATTGAAAGGATTGATGAGAACCCATTAAAAGCAATCCATTTGCTTTGTGGAGGCTTTGTGTTGGAATGTGCAGTGAAGGATGCACATAAGCACACAGTGAGCTTTGAGTCTTGGGTGGGAAATTGGGAAGACCCGGGATCAGATCCCCACCCAGCCATGGAATCTTGGATCCCGCTGAATCTCGGCAGAGGGTTTGTCTGATTTCCTTTGCCAACAAGGCTGTGTTGCCATGGATCGGAAATGACTTCAAGGCACCCAATGGGTCACGCACGCGCATTAACTAGGATGTGTTCCTCTTTCTCAGGGAGTCCATGGCGTCCTACACCATCCCCTCTGAGCTCCTTCTGGTGGAGGAGATACCGAGGAACCAAATGGGCAAAGTGGACAAGAAGCAGCTCCTCAGGCAGTTCTATTCCTCCATTTAAGAGAGCTACGTTGGCAGCCTTGGCCCGAGAGAGACCAAACAATGGGGCCCAGATTCTTCCAAAACGGCAATTGGATGCCGCTCTCCTTTCCGACGCTCAGGTCACTTTTAGCCTTATCATCATGTCAAAGGTGGGACCGGACCTGTGATTTATTTTCCTAAATGTGAACCAATGTTGTATAAAAACAGACTTGCTTCTTTGGAGCCTCTTTCTTAGACCTTTCTGCTGTAAATTCAGGTCTTTCCAGTGCTCCTGGATGAGTGAAGCGAGGATCTTTATGGCTCTTGTGGGTTTTTTCGGGCTATATGGCCATGTTCTAGAGGCATTTCTCCTGACGTTTCGCCTGCATCTATGGCAAGCATCCTCAGAGGTAGTGAGGTCTGTTGGAATTAGGAAAATCGGTTTTATATATCTGTGGAATGACTGGGGTGGGGCAAGGAGCTCTTCTCTGCTGGAGCTAGGTGTGAATGTCCACCTTCATTAGCATTTGAAAGCTTGGCTGAGCCTGGGGTAATCTTTTGTTGAGAGGTGTTAAGATGTGCCTGGTTGAGAGAAGCCATTGAAATCCACAAGCATGTGGACAATTTCAACAGAAAGGAGGAGACCATGAAAATGAACAAAATCTGGCTACCAGTATTAAAAAACTTTAAAATTACAGCAGCAAAACAGCAGAGAGGAAACAACCAAGCACATCTTAACACCTCTCAACAAAAGATCACCCCAGGCTCAGCCAAGCCTTCAAATGCTAATGAAGGTGGTCAGTTAAAACATTCACACCTAGCTCCAGCAGAGAAGAGCTCTGTGCTCCACCCCAGTCATTCCACAGATATATAAAACCCATTTTCCTAATTCCAACAGACCTCACTACCTCTGAGGATAATTGCCATAGATGCAGGCGAAATGTCAGGAGAAATGCCTCTAGAACATGGCCATATAGCCCGAAAAAACCCACAAGAACCTAGTGATTCCAGCCATGAAAGCCTCCGACAATACAAGGATCTTTATGTCGAGACATTATTATTATTTATTTATTTCGAACACTTTTACCCCATCCTTCTCAACCCCTGAGGCGGACTCAGGGCAGCTTCCAACTGGCAACAATTCGATGCCGCATAATAAAATACAAAACACCAATAATTATAATAGTTAAAACATTAAAACAATATACTTACCGTCTACTGAACTATTACCAGTCTGGTGGCCATTATCTAGCCAAATTCTATGATTCTACTCCATTTAACTTATTCATAATCCATTGCCAAACCATTGTCAACATTGTCGTTGTCATTTCCGCCTAATGGCCCGAAGGCCTGGTCCCACATACACATTTTTACTTTCTTTCTAAAGGTAAGGAGGGGTGACGATGACCTAATTTCCCCGGGGAGTGAATTCCACAGTCGGGGGGCCACCACTGAGAGGGCCCTGTCCCTCGTCCCCGCCAAGCATGTTGAGACAGAGGCGGGGCCGAGAGCAGGGCCTCCCCATAAGATCTTAAACTCTCAGCTGGGATGTAGAAGGAGATACGTTCAGACAGGTACACTGGATCGGAGACTGGTCCCACATGTTCATTTGTGGGATTAACAGAACTCAAAAACCACTGGACGAATTGACACCAAATTTGGACACAAGACACCTAACAACCCAATGTATGTCCTTCACTCAGAAAAATGATTTTGTCATTTGGGAGTTGTAGTTGCTGGGATTTATAGTTCACCTACAATCAAAGAGCATTCTGAACTCCACCACAATGGAATTGAACCAAACTTGGCACACAGAACTCCCATGACTAACAGAAAATACTGGAAGGGTTTGGTGGGCATTGACCTTGGTTTTGGAGTTGTAGTTCACCTACATCCAGAGATCACTGTGGACTCAAACAATGATGGATCTGGACCAAACTCTGCAAGAATACTCAACATGCCCAAATGTGAACACTGGTGGAGTTTGGAAAATAGAATCTTGACATTTGGGAGTTGTAGTTGCTGGGATTTATAGTTCACCTACAATCAAAGAGCATTCTGAACCCCACCAAGAATAGAATTGGGTCAGACCTCCCACACAGCACCCCCATGTGGGCCAAAGCAACGCGTGGCAGGGGACGGCTAGTAGTAATAATAATAATAATAATAATAATAATAATAATAATAAGTGTTTGGTTCTTTCACTCCTTGTACCTTTTGAATCAGCTTCTCAGCTTGCACACTATGGATATACCATCATCACTTTGGGGAGGAAAAGATAAGGCACAACCAAGGTTTGCTGTTCTCTAAATGGTGCCCCGGAACTGTCCTGGGATTTGGGGTCTGGCTTGCGAGATTCGTAGCCATCATTTGTGCCATGGCATGAGGCCCGCTGGGGATTTCACCGCTCCGCTCAATGCACTTCAAAATGCTTTTACAGCATCCCCATTCCTCCACAGAAGGCAGGCCCAAGGGAGCTCCATCCATTTGGTGCTCCTCGCCTGTCTCTGCATCTCATCGGCCTTGGCCTTGCGTCACCTTCAGTGCACAAGGGACCGACTCCCAGGTGACACGACACTTCCAGCATCCCTCTCTTTGCCCTTCTCTCCTCCCCGTCCTCCCTTGCTTTTCCTATTATATTTGTCAGATTTTTCTCTCTTCCCGCTTCTACCATCCAAGCCAGTCTGCCTGCCTTCATTTTTTTACAGCACCGTAAAAGAGCCCCTCATTAGGGGAGCCTGTAATCTCAACACGGGGACAGCTAATAACCCGCTGTAAATTGCGATCTGTCCTTTTGCACGCTCCGGCACACACTCCTTCTGTTTGACTACAGATGCAGGGAAAAGGGGGCGGGGGGAGCAGCCATTAGAAGAGAGCAAAGGAGTCCCAGTCTCTTTTAATAACCCAGGCACGCCTCGGCTGCTCTTTCGTTCTCTTTCCTATTTGCTCTCCTTTTTGCATTCCTGCCCTTCCTATATGAAACTCTTTCACCCCCCAAAAATCTACAGGGTTGTGCATAGGCTGTTGGGCAAGTGGGCTTCTTAACCAAAGAACCTCCCCATAAATGTACAGCAGAGTAACTTAGCAGCAGCAGCATGACCCAGCACTAGTAGCCGAAAGTGATAAAAGGAACCAAAACACACAGACCAATGTCATCTCTTCCATAGGAAGCTTTCCTTTAGAGCAAAATAATATGGCTACAAGAACAAGGTTTCCACAACACAATTAAAGTTCTTTATAATTCCGTCTTTGTTTCCATGCTTTGTTTCCATGGGTCTTTCTCATCCAGATAAACAGCTTCGCTCTCACAGAGCCTCCTCTCACACCCAACTTGCACAGGAGCTTCACACCATAGCTTTATACACACAGCAGCCTTCACACTGGAACTTTACACATGAGGCCTTCTCATACTGAGGCCTTTCTCCCACTGAGGCCTCTCTCACAAAGAGACCTTCTCGGACTGAGGCCTACTAACACTGAGGCCTACCTCCCTCTGAGGCCTCCTTCACTCTGAGACTTTCTCAGATGGCCTGCCTCACACTGAAGCCTTTCTCCCACTGAGGCCTCTCTCACACAGAGACCTTCTCAAACTGAGGCCTACTAACACTGAAGCCTTTCTCCCATTGAGACTTCCTTACACAGAGACATTCTCAGACTGGGGTCTATGAACACTGAGGCCTTTCGCCCACTGAGACCATCCTCCCACTAAGGCCTCTCTCACACAGAGACCATCTCAGACTGAGGTCTACGAACACTGAGGCCTCTCTCACACAGAGACCTTCTCAGACTGAGGTCTACGAACACTGAGGCCTCTCTCACACAGAGACCTTCTCAGACTGAGGCCTCTCTCAAACTGGGGCCTACCTCACACTGAGGCCTTTCTCACACTGAGGCCTTCTCCCACAGAGACCTTTACAGACTGAGGCCTGTTAGTAAATCTCTTAAGAATGAACTCTGCCAGGCTTTGTACACATGAGTTTCCATCAATGGCAAGTAATAGGGAGCTGGCCATATTTACCTGCAAGAAGAGAAGATGGGAAGATGATAGGATACGCATCTTTACAGACCATATAGAATAATGGCTCTCAATCTCTGGCCTTTCAGATGTTTGGGACGTTATATCAACTGGTTCTACACTACATGATATGGTCAGCGTCAAACCATAGAAACGGCAACTTAACTGCATTGAGCTGCATTATATGGGTCTACCCTGAGCAAATAATGCAATTCGAGACAGCATTATATGGCAGTGTGGATTTGGCCTTGGAATCACAGACTTGGAAGAGACCCCAAGGGTCATCTAGCTCACCTGCTCACCATGCATGGATGCACAATACGGTGCAATGTATTTTAGCCTGTATTTATCTTTATGTAGCCCCTCACTAAGGCCCTTGACACAGGCTGGAATGTATTGATTTTTCCCCCCGGAATTAAAATCGAAACAACAATCCACGCAATAGGATTTTGGGCCTGCAGCCGTTTCCAAACAGTTTTTCAAGGTAGCCCTGCAAAGCTAACACTAATCAATCCGTCAATAGCAGTATTGATCCTTTTTCCTCCTAGAACCTGGATGTGAGAGTCCTATCCCTATTAAAGGGCTTGCAATCCCATTTCGGCAATAAACACAATGCTTGTGCTTATTGGATGCGTCAAGACCCAGCATCCCTTTGCCAGCGCCTCATTCGAACCCGTGACCCGCTGGACCAACGCGACCCCTTCCCCTTTCACAGAGTAAGGGGAAGTGATGGCACCGTCTCCCTCCACCGGCGCAGTCCATTTTCCCCACTTACCCTATAGATCAATATCAAATTATCATGTCTCACATTCATAACTCTTAAGCAAGCCACAATGGGGAGAGACAAGGTCACTGGAGAATAAATCGCAGGCCCGGCGCTGCGCGATCTATCATCCCCGGCACCTTGCGCCGGGGCCACTGACAAGATCATTAATAAAACCCTGCCGTTGCCCGATCGATGGGTTTGATGGATGAGCCCAGGTAGCAAATACAGTAAAACAGCTGCCTGTCACGCTTCGGTGAGGGATGTCAGCTTCGGAGGAGAGGCGGAGGGGGCTTTGTGCCATTTTCCTTTCGGGGCTTTTCCTGATACTATTTATGTAAGGATTTCAAAGCCATCCTGCATTTGAACTTGGCCTCCGTGGTGGGGCGAGGAGAGAGACCTTTTGGGAGACTCGATACCATTGACATCTCCTCCTCGGCGGAGAAAGAGAGTGATGGG